GTGTGGATTTCCGGATTCAGCATAGTGAATAGGTCCGGGTAAGCACAATCTCAAAATCGACTTTTTGCCCGGACACTGCCTCGTGGATCAAGTATGGCGCATGCCTAAACAAAATTCTGTGAAATCGCTGCAAATTTTTTTTGTTCCGGCGGAAGTCCCCGTGAATTGCCTAAGTGAGACATATGTGCCGTCTTCCGAAAATAATCTTTCTTTCTCGCCGTTAGTCGCGGTTTATTCACTGTTTCGAAATCTTCGCAGTTTATGTGTTTGAGACATTTTTTTCTCTCATTGACTGTTCTCGCGCCGCGTGCGTCAGTTTACGCCCACGGCACACTCTCTGCCATTAGCCTCGTCTCACATCTCTCTTCACATTCTAATCTATTCTATACTTCTCACAACACGTGTTTCCTTTCTGCTCACGTCACACACACATCTGCGAAGTCAAAGAGCTAATCGGCGCGATCAGCTGATCGTGTTGGGAATTTTCGCTGCAAAATTCCCGCCGCCGTTTGCATTTGCAGAATCATCGAAGATGCGATCAAGCATTTGCGCACACAGTGCTGACTTCTTCAAATGCATTGGATATTCAGCATGCTTGGCGCTGGGAACTCTTGGTATCTTAGGCATTTCCGCAAAAAACTCGTCCACATTTCCCAAGCAAGTCATCGACGTTCCCATCGTTGCCGTGCGGGAAAGATGGACGAGCATGAGCCGTATAGTCAAGACGCACACATAAGTGTACTGGACAATGTTGCTTTTGTGCATCCGTATGTGTTGTGTCGCCATCGGGACCGACGACGATGTCGATGCTGACACATCCACTGACTGACGTCGACAATATGTGCAAATTGTCGTTTGCACGTTCATCACTTCTTCGTTTACTGCTCTTCGTGTTTTTTGTAGATTTATAAGCAAAAATCTAGAGATTAGATCGGTTTTCTGTGCAGATTGCGGAGCCCATTTAATTGATTCTAGTTCCTAACGCAACTAATTTCCATTTATGTGAAATTTATGATTGATCAGCTGATTTATGAATCATAGAGGCGCGCTCTCATGCCCATGTATGCCTAATACATTTGCTCTAATGACACGCTTTCTTTTGAATTAGTTTCCAAGAAATGTATTGATGTTATCGCTTTCTTCAGGTTTTGTTGGGGCTGGGGAAACTCGGGGAAAGTCGGGGAGATTTCGTAGCGTTTCTCTTGACG